CAAACAGATCATCTGTGTTTGCATAAGTCGCTCTGTGTTCTCCTGGATCGTGTCGCCCTGACAAATAATTTAATGGGAAAGTGACAGTGTCATAAAGAAAGTGAATGGGATGATTAAGTGATGTTTTAATGGCTGTGTGTGTGTGTGTGTGTGTGTGTGTGTGTGTGTGTGCGTGTGTAGCCTGCACCTGTTTGTGTAGCTGCTCCTTTCACAGGCCTGCAGGTCACTATAACAAGGCCAAGTCCACTCTGCTGCTGGAAACTAAAAATGGACGTGCAGAGAAACTGATATCTTTACACTGCCCAACTACAGTGTTTCCATTTGGACAGGACGAATACTGTATGTGATAAAACTACACTGAACTACTGATGGTGAGAAATCTGAGAATATGCTTTGAGAAAACATAGTTTCCAAAGAAAAAGAAATCAATCATTATTTTATACTTTTCTTATCTTGTCTCTTGTTGTTAATTTTAGTTAGACTCAGGATCATCTGAGATTTTAAAACTATGACCTCTTTCTCTAAAAGTAGCAGTAGTTATAGTAGTAGTAGTACCTCAAAGCTTCAGTGGTGTGTACAAGCTATCACATGTTGAACTGCTGAAAATAACACGGCCTACACCTTCCTAATATACTGTTTCTATTCCTACTTCTGTGGTATGTCCAATACTATGCCTGTAATTTGGAATATTTACAACACTATAACCCATATTCTCCTCTCAGTACAATTTATGTGTTATATTGTAGCCTACAGGTTCATAAATACAAATGAAAATCCTGCTTTCAGTATGTACTAAAAACTACTCATAAATGTAGATTGTGAGGCACAATATCTCCTGCTAATATCTACTGTTATAGAAGCATGAAATAACATAACATGGAAAAAGCTTGTTCAGTACTTTTGTAACTAAGTTTAGTACTTGAGTAAATGTACTAGGTTATACTTTGGAAGGTTGTTTATATCATTTTCATTGTCCAATATATATACTACTTTATTTTCATGTGCATATGTCATCTCACTTCAAATTACTTTGCCAAAGTTTTAGACACTTCAGATGTTTGTTATGTCCCAATGGTACAAATTGTAACATACAGACACATTAAAGTCTAATAAATACATATAAAATAAATAATAAATAGTATTGGGTATTAAAGCAGATGAGTATAAATATATACTCAGCCATATAACACATGATAATATTGCACAGTGAGGATATTATTGCTCTTGATTAAGTTATCTCATGGCACTTGGATGAAAGCTTTTTCAGAATCTGGAAGTGTGAGATGCAGCAGGACTAACAGAGAACAAGGAGCCCTACAGATGGTTCGGCCTCATGGAGTCAGCCTGTGATCACATGAAGAGACAGTGAGTTACCCAACACATGGAACAAACCACCTGCAAAGAAACCTTTAAAAACTGTACCAAGGAGCGGTGCTGCTTTAAGGCGAAGGGTGGTTCCACCAAATATTTATTGAGGCGTTTTCTGTTTACTTGTGATGTTTACAACAGTTGAAGTCACAACCTGGAAACTGTTTGAGAGCTGAAAGGTATTAGAAAACAAACATCACTGGAGACAAACTAGTCAAAGGTGTTTGTCATGATTTAGTATTGTGAGTGTACACTTACGATGAGTCTGTAGTGTTGCGTGCACCAGGTTAATGAGACACACCCGAAACAACATACGGATGTGGAGCACTTCAGGCAATGATGCAGCACCTCTGGCCTTTTTGGGACATGAACAAAATGAATGTGAGTTTAAACTTGTAAAATAACAAATGTAGCCCAAACAAACGTTGGCCTTTTTGGCAAAAATTAGTTCGGGACAAAGTCTAATCTGGATGTGAACCTAAAGGGGCACATGTGGTAAATTGTGAATATATAATAATACTAATAATAATGATAAAAACAAATTCAGGCTACCATTGGCACCTTTGGTTGATATGCTGTGTTGCTCCAGCTTACTTGTGGCCCAGATCTGGTGGACCACCCAAGTTTCCTTATATGGGATGGGGGCTGGATGTGGGTCAAATCTGGGCCAGAACTATTTTGCTATCCCTTCTTTTTAAGTCTGAGATCAGCTGTTTATCTTGAAAAAAAGCTCCTGTTGGATGATGATGTCACTGCACTCTACAAGAATGTACACTGCATCTGCTGAGGACACTGAGGTCATTCCTTCCTTCCTGCTGCTCCCAGTCAGCATAATGCTTTTTGTGAATAACTCACTCAGGATTTAACGCATTTAACTGTGCAATCTGTACAATCTGCACAATTTCAATAATACATACAGTAATACATAGCTGATTTGCAGGAAGGGGGGGTTGGATATCAGTCAGAGTTTGATAAAACCTCTGTGTCCAGACTAGTTAAATCTCACACACTGTACGTATTATCTTAAACAGTTCCTTGTATTTATATTGTATTTTTTCTCGAGTGTTTAGCTCACTATTCACCTTTACAGCTGTAACATGGTCAAATTCACAACAGTGGGACTAACTAGAAAATCTCTCCTGCCGAGACATTTTGAATGGGTGCCTTGTGCTCGTCGATATGCCGGCGTTGCTTTGAACACAGAGACATTTCCTTTAAGATGAAGGACAGAGACCCTGAGAGTTGACCAATTTCAGACAGAGAGAGAGAGAGAGAGTGTAACAGTTCGAGAGGAAGGAGA